GCATTCTATCTCAAGGGAAAAACATGACCCAGGGTGCATTCTATCTCAAGGGAAAAACATGACCCAGGGCACATTCTATCTCAAGGGAAAAACAAGACCCAGGGCACTGGCCTCCAGACAGGTGTTTGTTGAATATCTGATGGAGTTTGGTAGCGTTTGTTTTTCCACTGATTACTCAGTATGTTATACAGGTATTGATCGACTTATGACCTATGCAACTTACGACCATTCGACTTTACAATCACAATCGCTAGCCACGACTGTTCCGCCTCTGGCAGCGCAAACGTTGCCCAGCTGGGCATACGACAGTGCGTACCAGCTTCTGGCAGCACTACCATCTCCGCGTGCACCATTTCAACTGTACATATAGCCTACTCAACTTACAACCAAACCGTGTTACGACCAGTCTGCTGGTACCAATCGTGGTCGTCCTAAGTCGAGCACTAGCTGTATGTGCCTCCTGAATGCCAGGCACTGTGGCAGATTGGTGCTGGGAATAAAATAGATGACCCTTATGGAGCTACAGTCCAATAGAGATAAGTAAAACTGACAAATTAATGAATATATAAATCCAAAGTGAGAAAGACTGTCAGGCTACTGAATAACTTGAGTGAGGATAGATGGTATGATTAGGTAGTCAGGGAATGACTCTGAGGAAACAAAATGTAAGTTGAAACTGATCTTTGTTAGGAGCCAGTTTACCCTGTGGGATATTTACCCTGTTTGAAGTCTTTACCATTGTTGCTATCCCAATATACTTAATTTGGGTAAACTAGTCCCCCTTCAAACACAACCAGTGAAATTTCTCTTTTTCATCAATGTTTGCAAAAAAATAATAATAATAATACAAAAAAAAGCTGAGCATAATGGTGCTCCCCTGTAGGTCCCAGCTACTTGGGGGCTGAGGCAGGAGGATCACCTGAGCCTTGGGAGGTCCAGGTTGCACTGAGCTGTGATTCTGCCACTGCACTCAGCCTGGACAACAGAGTGAGATCCTGTCTCAAAAAGAAAAAAAACAATTAGAGAATCTCCATTCATGTAAAAACACCATTAAAAGAGTGAAAAGGCAAGCTACAGTTTGAAAAAAGAGAAATGCAATACATATATATTCTAGAAAGGACACATATCCAGAATAAAGTATTACAAAAAAAAAAAAAAAAAAAGAAAAGAAAGAATGACAACTAATATAATCCAGTTAGAGCTTGGGACAGAAAAGGGCATTAATCGAAAAACTGGTGAAAACCACATAAAGACTGGAGTTTAACTAACAGTAATTTACCAATGCTGGTTTCATAGTTTTAGTAAATGTATCACAGTGTCAGAAGGAAATAAAATTAGGGGAAGTAAACTGGTGTGAAAGGAAAATAAGTCTCAAGACCCCAAAATCACTAAGCCAAAGACAAAAGTCAAAGTGGGAACTGCATCAGGTAAGCCTGTCTCCCATTTTATTCCTAAATAAGATAGCTATAAGGATTAAAGATAAATAAATAAATAAAGCTACATACTTCCATTACAATTTGCCCACAAGGAAATTCTCTGTAGACCTCAAGATCTTGACCCTAAAGCAGTTCTGGTGAATTTCACCCTGACCATGTAAATTGACAGCATCTTGTCACAGATGTGGGACAAATAACAGACAGAACTCAGTCATCCCTCTGCTCACCTGAGACAAATGCATATATGATTGTTTCCTCTGCAGTACTGTTTATGTAAAAAGGCAGGTTCACTAAGTCAGACTAAGGCATAAGGGATTATTCCTCTATCCTCCTCACATGTAAACTATGTATTCAGTGAAAGGCTGATAAAAGACCCAAAAGAACGTAAACTTTTATCTTTTAACTACCTATAACCTGGAAGCCCTGACTTTGAGCCTGTCATGCCTTTCTGGATCGAACCAATGTATATCTTATGTCTCGTGTCTCCCTAAAATATACAAAACTAGGCTGTGCCCCAACCACCTTGGGCACACATCCTCAGGATTTCCTGAGGGCTGCGTCACAGGCCACTGA